AATTTTTCCATTTTGTTCATGCATCTTTTTTTTTTACTCTCTCTGTATCTTCCTTTAGTTCTTTGAACATCCTCAAGACAGTTGTTCTAAAATCTTTGCCTAGTATATCTTCTATTAGGTCTTCTTCAGGAATAGTTTCTATTTGATTCTTTTTTCTTTGAATGGACCATACTTTCCTGTTTCTTTGTATGCCTGGTGATTTTTTTTTTTTTATTGGACACAGAACATTTGAGTCTAATAGTGTTGTAACTCTGGAACTCAGATTCTCCTCCTTCCCCAGAGTTTTTGCTTATTGTTTTTGTTGGTTATTGTAGGGTGTTTCTGTGCTGAAGATGGGCATAAGGTATAACTAAGGTCTTCTGAGGTTTGTTCTGATTCTTTCCCTGAGCATGCTTGGTCACTTTCTAATTTTTTCTACATATGCAGTTGTTTTTGAAAGTCCTAGTCTTTAACGTGCAACTCCCAAAGGGGGAAAAAGCAAAAACTGAAGGGGAGGAAAAAGGAGGTCAGCCTTTTAAATCCCCTGGAATTCATTTCAAATGGAGGGGGAAGGGCTTATAAGAATGGCTGCCTCTTTGTTTGAACCTTTGTGATCAGAAGCTATAATCAGCGACCAAAGTATGTTACGTCAGACAGATTTTGCTAGTGCAATTGCAATTGTCGTCTAGGTGGGGAGATGGATTCCTGGTTCCTGCTCCACCATCTCTCCGAAATCTTCCTCTTCCTCCTCCTCCACTTTTCCTCCTCCTCTTCCTTCTTCTTCCTCTTCTCCTCCTCCTCCTCCTAAAGGATTTATTTATTTATTTGAGAGAGAGAGAGAGAGCACACAAGTGGGAGGGAGAGGCAGAGAATCTCAAGCAGACTCCCCACCGAGTAGGGAACCAGATGCGGGGCTTGATCCTATGACCACAAATTCATGACCAGAGCTGAAATTGAGTTGGATGCTTAACCAAATGAGCCACCCAAGTGCTCCCAGAACCCTCTTCTAAATTCTTTTACATTACCTTCAAAAGCATAACATCATCTTCAAATTGTCAAGGATAAGCAAAGCCAGACCCTAGTTGAGGACAGATTTTGATCAGTAACATACTGTTACAATAGGAAAGAGTTCAGCATGAACTGAAATCTGGTTTGCACAGAGGTCAAGGGAGAGTGAGGGAGGGGGGTGGGAGGGAGCGGGGCTCGGGGGACTGGGGGAGTGAATAGTTACAGGGAGGGTAGGGGATGTTGTCCATGTGAAACCCATTTGGGTTTGCTAACTGGTGCTTATTAAAGTTAGGCTCCTACCCTTCCCCAGAGGCTGGGAGACAGAAGCCTTATATTCAGGTGTTTGCTGGGACAAATAGTAAATTCTTTTGGAAGCCTTGAGTTTTCTCAGGCAAGCACTTTAAGGGAGGCTGGGGTCAGCCTAAGTATGTGGCCTTGAGCTCTTAGAACTGTGTTAGTGATTGTTCAAGTCTTTATAGGCCAGGACTGAGGATTAGTTGGAAACAGGGCTCAGGGGAGGCTTGTCAGAGTTTGGTCAGGGAGAGAAATCTTTGTCAAAGTAAAGAGTAAAAACTACAGATAGAGCTAATGTTCCCTGACTATCATTCTGAACCCTAGTTCCTTCTCGCTTCTCTGAATTAATCTTACCCTTGTTATTGGGGTAGGTGAGCTTTTTTTTTTCTTTCAAAAATTTTTTTTTATTTGAGAGAGAGAATGAGATAGAGAGAGAGCATGAGAGGGGAGAGGGTCAGAGGGAGAAGCAGACTCCCCGCCGAGCAGGGAGCCCGATGCAGGACCCGATCCCGGGACTCCAGGATCATGACCTGAGCCGAAGGCAGTCGCTTAACCAACTGAGCCACCCAGGCGCCCTCTTTCAAATTTTGAATGCACTTACCTGTGTGTCTGTGTGTGCAGTCATAGGAAATACATATGTATGTGTTTTAACAAAACTGTGTCTCTTGGTTTCACTGAACAAGCCATTTTGAGAGTCTTTCCATTATGGTGCTCTTCCTTTTGATTCAAGCATGGTAGTCTATAGTGTGATGATTCCATAGTCATTCTAGATTCCTACTGAGGGAGATTTGGGTTGTTTCCAATTTCTGCTGGAATCACAATAAGCTGGATGGCAATAAACATCCTTGTGAATACCTTTGTGAAGTGCTTCTTGAACACAGAGACGCAGTGGTCGAATTACTGGGTCCTTGAGCATGCATTTAAAATTTTAATAGATGTCACCAAATGGCCTTTTCAGAGCAGCCCAACACACTTACACTCCCACCAGCTGGGTGAGAGTGTGTGTTCTTCACACCTTTCCCAACACTGAAGGGACTCAAACTTCCTAATAGTTGCTAATCTGCTGTGTCAAAACATCCTTTTGTTTGATCATTTCCACTGGCCATCTGTATCTTCTTTTCTAGGACCTGGCCCAGATCCTCAGATATTAAAATAACTTCTGATTGAATGCCGCATTGCTCCCATGGCTTTGGTTATGGGGTCTCAGCCCAAGTCATGCTAAGGGCAGGATGGAGAGAGGGAAGAACAAGGGGGAGAGGGAGTAAGGAGAACAGGTTTTCCCCTCCCTCTCTGAAGCTGGGACTGAAACTAAGGAGAGGCTGTGAGAGTCAACCCCAGACTCCAGAGTCCAAGGTCTTGACCAAATGTATTCTCCATCCAGTTTTGCTGGTTCTTGGTGGGGGACAGGGGAGGGGAAAGGCAGGGTCCTAGGAACTCCTCTGAGTGGGCCACCAGCAGCAGTCCCTGACTGACACCTCCTGGGCTAGTCCTACCTTCTTGGTGTCCTCCCAACAGCAATGAAGTCAGATACCTGGAGAAGGGGGGAAGAGAATTGAGGTAGGCGGTGCAACGGGGAGCCTATGCTTAGCCCCCACATCTAGCAGGGCAGACAGCCACACCTTTCAGTCCCAGCTGGGTGCTACCGTGTACATAGTGGCCGCCTCCTGTGGCCGCCCCCGGTGCTGGCACCTGCTCTACCTGCTGCACCGGGCCCATGCAGCTGCTTAGGCTCCTCGGTTTCCTCTGGATGCTCAGGGCCTCCACGGGGGCCAGAGGTGAGGGGGCAGGTGGGAAAAGGGCTGATGTTTTGGGGCAGGGGTGTGTGGGGAAGTGGCTCTGAGGCCTAAGGGGAGACTGAGGAGAGATTCCTCCGAGCTTTGGGTGCGGGAGGCATCGAGGAGAAAGGAAGCTGGGTCCTGCTGGTGCTACTCCCCACCCAGGACCAAGCAGGTTGCAAGGGTGGGTGCTTGCATCGGGAGAGTGGGCATAACCTCTTTCCAGAGGAGTGCTCTTCCCTTTGATTTGGTTTTCTGAGCCCTCCCTTCTCTTCTGTCCCTCCCCCCACCAGCCCCGGTGCTCTGTCCACTCTGGACTCTTCCTTAACTTCCAGGGGTGCTCTCTCCATGACAGCTCTACCTCTTCCCCTGGGGTTCTCTCCTCTCTCTGGGGCATCTCTGCCTTTGGTCCCAGTCCCCTCCTCTAGCTCTGCCTCTATCTCTCCCTGCCCCCACCCAGCCCATGTTTCTGGGCACAGTTGTCATTGGCAGGGCTGGGCTGGGGAGATCCTGACTGTTCGCAAAGGGTGGGTGTATACTACCCGGCGTGTGGTCCAGGGCTTTCTCTTTCCTGTCCCTTAGGAATCCCATAATTCCTCTGTATTTCCCTTCCCTCTGTCTCTTGGTGTCTGTTCCTGACCCTCAATCCTACACCTTCCCAACCTAGAGGCCCATGGACCACCCTCTCACTTACCTCTAGGGCCACCTCCTGGCTCTAAGGGCTCTAACCCTGGACTCTTCATAATCCCCCCTCCCACCTCCCTGACATACCCAGCTAGGCTGAGAAATGAAATCCCAGCTCTCAGAACAAAGATGTTCTCGGTCCAAGGTGAGGAGGAGGCTAATGCTGAGTGGGCAGGAGGTCTGGGCACTTCCTGCTTGCAAATCCTGTGGCTGCAGGAGTCTCTCTGCCACTCACCCCAGCATTATGAGATCTCTGACCCTCACTCTTAAGTGGAGTTGATGATATCTGTAGAGTGAGGGGTTCATGTTTGTAAACTAATTAACCCAGTGGCCAGAATAGAGTGGGTGATAGAAAATACGTCTGTTTTTATTAACACTCACTGCTAAACCTTAAGGTCTTTGGAACTCATGCCTATCTTTTTTTTTTTTTAAGATTTTATTTATTTATTTATTTATTTATTTATTTATTTATTTATTTGAGAGAGAGCCCACAAGCAGGGGGAGTCGCAGAGGGAGAGAGAGAGAAGCAGGCTCTCTGTTGAGCAGGGAGCCCGATGCAGGGCTCGATCCCAGGACCCTGGGATCATGACCTGAGCCGAAGGCAGCCAAAGCCATGCCTACCTTCTGACTTATCACTTTCTGGAAGTTTTCTTTTCTGTCCTGTCCCTCAGCCTGTCAGTGTGGTCCTCTCTCCCTGTCCCTCAAACTCAATAGAGTCTGAGCCTCAAACTCTGGTTTTCCCTTTGCTGTTCTCTATGCAATTTTCCCCTCTCTGACCCAATGGCTCCAGTGTCCATGATGTGTTCCCCCCCTAGACCCCCAAGCCCAGACTTGGCGGGGTTCTCCTGGAAGAGGAGAGTCAGCCCAGACAGCAGTGCGTCATAGGGAAAAGGGCAGAGGAAAGCCAAAGGGCGGGGACTTGGGGCAGCAGGTGGGGAAGAGGAGGGAGCAGAGTAAGGGAAACATGTATGTGTGGAGAAAGGGGTGAGGTGGAAGGACCCTCAGCTGAACCTGCATGCTCAGCACAGCCATCCCGAGGGCTGGAAGGTCCCCACTCAGAAGAGGGGCCAAAGGACTGAGGGCATCCCCTTCAGAACCTGAAAGGCCCTAGCCCCAAACTGCCTCTGATGGAGGGATAAGCAATGGAACTTCCTACTTTCTATGATACTATCTGGAAAATGCGGTAGTGAATAAGCTACATGGTGTTTATGGTGTCAACGCTATCTGCAAATGAATCCCTCTCTTCTATCCTCAATATAGGCACTTTCCCCATGGCTGCATCCACCTCTACTGAGCTTTTTCCCAGAGCAGAAGCAGCTCACACTGCTCTCAGCAACTCCCCACGCTCCAAAGGTGCGGCACGGTGGCCACTCAGCATTCCCAGCAGGGCCCCTCCAGCTCCCAACAGTAGGGAACACACACTTACCACTCCTACCACTTCCCCTCACTTTAAACCTATTTCTGAGGCATTGCTCAAAACTACAGTCAAGTCCAACACCTCAACAATCCCAATGTCCAAGCTTGTCCTCAAGGTGGAAACCACTCCACCCACACTCACTGTCTACAGGAGCACCACAAAGTGCATCAATCCCACAAACCTTATAATCACTACCACTTACCCCACCACCTGCATGACCCTGACCACCACCGAGAGACTCACCTCAGCCATAACCTCTCCTCCCACTACCACCACCACTCTGGGGAAAACTCCCACAACCATGGCCCTACTCTCTTCCTCTGTCTCAATGCCCCACACAACCTTCCATACTCTGATATCCTCTACAACTGGTACCACAAAAAGGGCTAGCCAGACCACAGCAAGCATTTATACACCCAGGTCTCTGACCCCAGTCATCACTCCTACCTCTGTTACCCCTTCTCTAACTGCCACGAACATCTCAGTCATCGTAACTGATAACAACTCTTCACCCATCACCAGTAGCACCTTGATTACAACCACAGCTTCATTTCCCAACACTGCCAGTACATTCAGAACAGCAACTGCCACCACTCATGATCCCACATCAACAAATATATTAACAACACCTACAACGCAAAGTATATCTGCTTCTACTGAAGTGACTGCTGCACTCAGTACACCAATTACTTTGAAAACAATGAGTTCTATGGAAACAAAACTAGTTCTGGGGAGTGACACCCCTAAAGAAACTCTCACAACAGGAATTACTTCGATTTCTCCAATCACATCATCAATCACTCCAACAAACACAATGGTTTCCACCACATCCGCCACCTCTGGACCCACCCTGGAACCCACTACCACCAATATTTATACAACATTCACAACCACAGAACCACACTCCTCTACTGTAGCCACTACACACACAGGCAAGATGACCGCCTGGAAAACTACACTTATTCCTACAAAAGACATTTCCACAGTGTCTCTCATGACAGAGATTAATTCTCCTCCCTCCACTATGTCCTTAATTACGCCCAGGAATATAGTCAATTCTTCAGTATCAGCCTCTTCTATTCCACTGAACCCCTGTACCTTGACATCAGCCACAAGTATGCTTCTGTTTTCTCCACCTGCTCCATCCACAGAACCAGTCTCCAGCTGGACCACAAACGTTACCCCTATATCCACCTTGATTACTACACTCCCTACAACCCATGTCACGTCCACCCCTATATCTCCCACTAGTACTGGCACCGTGGCCACAACTGAAATCACCACTCCCACCAACATTTCAACCATGGGCCACCTTGAACACAGCCTCTTTGCCCACTGCCTCCATTCCAGAAACCACTACCATGATTGTGGTAACAACACCCACTCCTGCAATACCACATAGTACCCCAGGTGTCACTTCTTCAAACATCTACTCTAAAGGAAGCACAACCACATCAGCAATAACCCCAACTCCCTCTACCACTGGAACCCCGAGGATAACCACCGCCATAAACTCATCCTCTGTTAGTACAGGCATGCCTATCTCAACACGGACAACCATCACCCCTACAGCCAGGGCTACCACTGGTTCATTGACTACCATTACTGACCTCACCTCCACAATCACTGCGTCCAGCATATTGGCAACACCCACATACATCATCCCATCTATCCCCACTGTCCAAAATACAGACATATCATCCAGTGTCATCACAACCTCTACCACAATGCCTACTATGGCAGCCATGCCCACAAGTACGCACAGCACTCCACCTCCTACCTTTGCTACAGACACTCCAGTTGCATCTGCAGGCTCCTCTCCCATGTCTACCAGCAGTACTGGGACCACACAGACAGAGAGTACCACCTCATATGCAACAGGCACAGATACATGGCACATAAATGCTGAATCCACCCCAGCACCCACTACCACTGACACACACACAACATCCCCGACCACTGGGCTACCCTCCTTTATTACATTTACTGCATATACACGCAAGATGACTGTCACACCCTCTCATGCCCCATCCACCTGGAAAACCACACTAACTCCCACTGGGGGTGTTTGGACGCAGTCTCTCACCACAGAGATTACTTCTCCTCTTGCAACCACATCATCAGTCACTCCCACAAAAAGAGTTGATTCTCTGACATTTACCTCCTCTACTCCAGTGACCACCAATACCTTGACATCAGCCATGGGTATGCATCTGTCCTCTCCACCTGCCCCAACCATAGAATCAGTCTCCAATTTGACCATAAACACTACCCCTTCATCCACCTTGATTACTACACTCCTTAGTACCAGGGCTGCATCCACCCCTATAGTCACAATGGCCACAACTGACATCACCACTCCCACCAACACTTCAAGCTCTACCCCGATCACAGCCACTTCGCCCACTCCCTCTACCCCAGAAACAGCCATGACTGTTACTACAATGTTGGTAAAAACACCCACCCCCACAATACCACCCAGTACTTCTTGTGTTTCTCCAACATTATCGTTCCCTAGTCTGAGTACATCTACAAATGCAATAACTACTTCTTTTGGTACTGTTATCTCTTCTTCAATATCCACAACAATAATGTTGTCTTCTCTATCCTCCACCAGTGTAACTTCAGTGCTCACCACCACCACGACCTCTCTTTCTACATCCTCACCTCTCTCTAGAATGGAAAATACAGGCTCTTCTGCTACGCTTTCACTACTCCTTTTTCATCTGAAACTATAAGAACGTCTCCAGTCACATATTCTCTAAAGACCTCTGCTACTGAAACAACCACCACCTGTTTTATTTCTTCTACCACCCCATGTCCAGAATCTATATCAGTTACAATAGCACCTGCCTCTCCCACTACTTCATGTATGGAAATGGGTCCAAGTAGTGAAGTTACTTCTATGGCCACCATCCCAATGTCAGTGTTTACTTCTACTACTGAGATGGCCACCTCTCCTAGTTCCACCAGTATGACAATTGTGTTTCCTATGCCTACGGACGCTTCTACTGTTCTGGAAACTCATCCTATCAACAGCATAACAGATGCTCCTAGTTCTAGTTCTGTCAGCACTGGGACTGTCCCCAGTTACACAGTTTTGACAAGCTCTCCAAGACCCACCAGTGGAAACTGGATGGACACCAATTCTATAAGCATATGCCTGGATTCACTAGCCTCCCACTGACGACAAAACCAAGCAGTAGCTTTCCAACTGCCGTGGTAACTTCAATCAAGTTGACTCACTCCACCCCAACCACTACCAAGACTCCAGAAACACCGGTGATTACCCCTCACAGTACTACCACCCTTAAGTCACCCAGGACCACTTCAACCACTACTCAGATGACCACACAGTCTAGGTTGACCACCACCCCAGGTTGGACCTCCTGCTTCCCTGTTCCCTCTTCTCTCTCCTCTGATAAATTTCTCTGTCACCAAGGGCAAGCCCTGTCCTGAACTTCCTTTTTTTCCTGTGCTGTCCAGGCACCTGTGACAATGGTGGCACCTGGATGCAGGGCCTCTGTCACTGCCCCCTGGGGTTCTCTGGGGACCACTGTGAGCTCCAGGAGATCAGGTGCCAGAATGGGGGTAAATGGGATGGCCTCACGTGCCACTGCCCTAGTACCTTCTCTGGCTCCCGTTGCGAGTTTGTGGTGGGACAGGTAGATCTGGGTGAGTTGCCAGAGCCCTGCCTTTTGCACTTTCTCCTGGGAGATGCCACTGACTCTCCCTGGGTCCAGTCCTGTGGTTCGCCTGTCAGCACTCATGTCATTTTGCCTAATTCCTCCATCCCTGCCTTCTCTCCCATGCTTTCCTCTACCCCATGTCATGCCTCCTTTCCACCCCCACCTCCAGGAGGTGGTTGGGATCACACTCCTTCCTGTGGTCTCCTTCCCAGTCTGGGCTGCTAGGAGCTGTATTAGCTTCTAAATGCTGCTGTAACAAATTATCATAAACTTAGCAGCTGAAACAATGCAAATGTATTGTCTTACAATTCTGTAGATAGGAGTCTGACGTGGGGCTAACTGGGCTAACGTCAAGGTGTCGGTGGGCCTGTGTTCCTTTCTGGGGGCTTTGGGGGAGAATCCATTTCTTTGCTCTTTTTAGGTTCTGAAGCCTCTCACATTCCTTGTCTCAAGGCTCCCTCTCTCCATCTTTGAAGCTGGCAACATTACATCTCTGCGCCTTTCTTCTGTAGTCACATCTTGTGACCAATTTTGACCTCTTCTGCCTCTCTTTTCCACTGCTAAGGACTCTTATGATTATGTTGAGCCCATGTGGTAATCCACGTTAATTTTCCCATTTTAGTCAGCTGATTAGTGATTTAAATTCTATCTGCAATCCTGATTCCCCCATGCCATGTAGCATAACATATCCGGAGGTTCTGGGGATGAAGACACAGGCATCTTGGGGAGCCATTATTCTGCCTGCCACCGGGCCAGACAAGGGAGAGACCACAGGCCTGGCTGCCATGCCTCCTTACCTCTAATCTTTCCCACATCTCGGCACAACAAATTCTAGAAATCCTATCTTCCGGTTGTGGGGGGAAAAATCCTATCTTCCTTCTTGCTACTGTTCAGTCAGTCCTCAGGGAACGTGGAAAGGGGCAATGGGAGGAACCTCTGGGTTGCGGTGGTGGTGGTGGTGTCAGATGGGAGTGGACGGTGAAGTGACCAGAGCAGGGTATGCTGTGCGCAGACACTGTGGATGCCGAAGTGGGCATGGAGGTGTCTGTTGACCAGGAGTTCTCCCCGGACCTCAATGACAGCACTTCTGCGGCCTACAAGGATTTCAGTGACACCTTCCCAGATCAGGTGATGGGGAAAGGGAGGGAACTCAAGGGTGCTTCCCTGAAGCTGAGCTTGGGCGCCTGGGTACACACACGTCACGAGGTTCAGGTGTGAGCCCAAGGATCTTGGCATTTCAGATGCAGAAGATTTACCAAAATGTGCAGGGGTTCAAGGATGTGGAGATCCTATCATTGAGGTAGGAGACCCTTATGGGGCTGTGGAGGCAGTGTTGGGTGGGGGCAAGGGGCACAAAGAAAAGCTGGAGAAACCATCTTTTCCTTTTGGAATCATCAGATTTTATAAAGAGAGAGGTGAAGGAAGGAGATGGGGGAGCCAATCACTTCATGGGGGATTTTTTTTCAATCATCATTTTCTGTGGTCATTTCTCTATAGAAGAGATGCCACCCCTCCTTTTAAAGCATGATTTGGAAGGAAACAGATTACATGGGACATGCAGGGAGGTGGCGCATGAAGACTTGTGGGAAGCCTGGTGTCTGGACAGTAGCTAGTTTTTCTCTGGCTGGCACCTGGCCTACTGAGTGGGTCAGCATGAGTGAGGCAGAGGGCTAAAGAGGGCCTGGTTTGGTAACGGCTTGATGCAAGGCAAGAGAATGTCAATCATTCCTTGTCCTGCCTCTGGGCTGATTAAATCAGGGATGCTGGTGGCTCCTGCAAATAATGTTCCTGGAATCCCAACTCATTGCTTCTGCCTTCCTCCCAATACCAGTGCACTTGTGGTTGGTCCTGGAGGTGCCCTCCTAAAGACTTATGTGCCCTAGGCCTGAGCACCCTGTAAGACCCCCGACCCTCTTGACCCCCTCAGGAGTGGCAGCATTGTGGTGGACTATCTGGTCCTGCTGGAGTTCCCCTTTAGCCCCCAGCTGGAGACCGAGTATGAGAAGATGAAGTCAATCCTGAAGGAGGAGCTCCAGAATGTCAGCCATAACGGGGACAGCTGCCAGCATAACCAGAGTGAGCCAAAGCTGGAGGGATGGGTCAGGGCCAGAGCTACCAGCTTTGATAGCCTCTGGACTCAGGTGCCATCCCTGGGGTCCTTCCAGCCGATTGGGAGAGGAAGGGGTAGGTTTATAGCCAATTGGGTCAAGAATGGGGCTAAGGAGGGGCCTGCCAGAACCTGGGTGCTGGGGAAGACCCCTTGACAGTTCTCCAAATTTTCAGGATGGCTGAGGACGCTTGCTTATTCGGGGGGAGATGAGGGAGGCAAGAGGAGCCTTCCTTTGTGGCCCCTCCACATCTCCCCCATAGGGACAGAGCCCTCTCTGCCCCTCCCTGGGCTTCCCTGCTCTGCTTATCTGTCCCTGAGCCCTTAACTCCCCCAATTCTACCTGTGCTTGTGTCCCCCCAGCCCTGTGTTTTAAGCCTGACTCCATCAAGGTGAACAATAACACCAGGAAGGAGCTGACTCTGGAAGGTAAGGGTGGGCAAAGGGCTGAGTGGTCCCAGGAGGCCATGACCCTCCCACCAGGAACATTTGCCCATTGAAACTCCCTGGGGAGGCGGAGGAGACCTTTCATGGAGGCAAGTAATGTGACCCCGGGCAGGGCTGCCCTTCCTGGCCCTTGTTAGTAGCTTCCACCTGAGGACTAGCAGAGAAGGTGAGGAGAGGGTAAAGGTCCTGGGGATCTGCCCTCCCCTCAACTAATCCGACACCCCATCCTCGGAAATGTAGTTTCCCCCATCTATTTTCGGAGCCATTATAACCAGGCCCCTGAGTAGAGGGGATGAGGTCCCTGTCTTTTTGCAACCCCTTACCCACTCCCAGCCATCTGTCGCCGCGCCACTGCCAAAGGCTATGAGGATTTCTACTTCCCCTTGGTGGAGGAGAACCGGCTCCCTGCGTCACCAAATGCACTTTGGGCGTGGACGGCCCCATCGACTGTCACCAGGGCCAGTACTTTGTGGAGAGGAGCGGTCCTGCTTGCCGGTGAGACTCAGCGCACACGCGGGAGCCCCGCCCACAGCCCGCCAGGCCTACCAGCTGGCCGCTCACCCCGGCCCCGCCCTTCGACCCACGGTGGAGCCCCGCCCACCTGCCAGCACCCGAGGGGTCCGTGTGCACGAGTGGACCCGGCGGGGAAGGTGGTGAGGTTCTGTGACCTGTGACCCCCCTGCTCCACCTGCTTCTCCACGGACACGCACTGGTTCTCGGGCCCGCGCTGCCAGGTGGCCGTCGCCTGGAGGGCGCTGGTCGGGGGCCTGGCGGGGTGGGGGGGGGTCTGGGCTCTGCTGCTGCTGGGGCTGCTGGCGTCCCTGAGCCTCTTCGTCGCGCGCTCCCGCTCCCGGCGAGGTGGCCAAAGTGGAGGCCTGAGCGCACTGGGGGGTGGGGGTGAGGGCGGCCAAGGGGTCCCAGCTGGGGCGGCCCTGCTCTGACACGGCGGCCGGCCGTGGCGTTGCCCCGACCCAGGTCCTGGGATGACGACAGGAAATGGTTCGAGATCTGGGATGAGGACACTGTGGGGACTTTTTCAAACTTGGGCTTGGAGGACGACCAAACAGGTGAGTCCCGCCTCCTGGGGAAGGGGGACAGGGGCTTTCCTGGGCACCCCTGCAGCCTGGGAAGGACCCAGTGTCCTCCCTTGCCCAGGGCGGACACGTACCTCGTGTCGGGAAGCTCCAGTCACCGCTTCCCTGGGCACCTCCTGAGGAAGGCGAAGGTCCTGCCTGGGCCATCCCTGCAGGGCAGGCCCTGGGGCCCAGGAGCCCCCCCTGCCAGACCTTGCCTTCCCCACCTTTCCTGCCCCTTCCCACCTCTTTCCTCCCCTTCTCTTTTCTCTCTCTCTAGTCAAGGAAGAACACTTCCAGGTGGCCTTGGAGACTGTGGACACCAATGTGAGGGTGAGGGGGGGCAAAGAAAGGATGGTAAGGAACTCTCCCAGATCCAGGTCCACGCCCTCCCTCCACCCACCAGGGCAGGGCACTGAGCTAGGACCAGGAGGCAGTGGCCTTCCAGCCAGCCTGAGCAGGGTGGCTCCCTGTTCGTACCCCTTCTTCGGTACACACTCTGTGGCAGGTGCATCTCCAGAGGCCTGAGGTTGGCTTCGTCCTTGCTGTGAGCCCGGCACCTCCCCCGCTGCCCTGCCCCAGACAGTGAGAAGAAACCGTCTGAACTGCATCCATTTTAAGGGATGGCCCGAGGACTTGGGCAACTCTGTCTCCTGGTTTCCTTGAGCAAACTCAAACCATCTCCCTGACCCTCCTCCTTCTCCTGGCTTGGGTGAAGCTCACTGGAGACCCAGTTCAAATCCAGGCTCTTGCACTGTGGGGCCTTGGCCAAGTCAGTCACTTTTCCGAACCCTGTTAAGATGAGTAGGGCATCTTTGTCCTGATACCCCGTGTGGTTAGTGTGAAAACCAGACGCGCTCTGTCAGATCTCTGTCCCAGTGCACCTTCCTGTGTCTGCCCTTGTGCTTATGTGGTCGCTTGCAGATCCCCGCCCCCACATCCTTTGGGGGTCTCTATTCTCCTGTGAGCATCCCTACCCCCGTTCCCCACCTGAGCCTGTAACCATCCTCCGACCAGCTCCTTATGTAACTCCTTGCTGCACCCCTGGCTCCCTGCCTTAGATCTCCCCCTAGGAACCCACTTCTTAAATCGCTCCCCAGCCCAGCACTCAGCCCCAAGTCTCCCCCAGCTTGTCCCCTCCCCCGCCCTTATAATCTCAGCCCTAAATCCTTAGCACCCCCCATCCCAGGGCCCCAGTCTTAAATCCTCCCTCCTCCCTGCACACCCCATTCCCAGCCAGGTATGGATGTCCTCTCCCTCTCAGGCCCCCCAGCTGGTGCTCCTCAGGCCCTGGTCCCCCATTCTGAGGCTCCATTCCTTCTTCTCGATCCCAAAGGCCCAGGATCCCAATTTTCTGGGGCCTCAAGGAGGAGCAGAAGCAGGGCCCTGAGGTGGAGAAGCTCCCTCAGCCCTTTGTCCTCACTGCCCCCTCTCCCCCATCCCCTACTACGTCACCCTCCCAACACTCCCCCCACCGTGCCCCTTTCTTCTCTGGCTTCACCCCCATCCCTGCAGTAACCTCAGAGGCCAGAAGTCCCCAGCCTTCTTTTTTTTTTTTTAATTTTTATTGTTATGTTAATCACCATATATTACATCATTAGTTTTTGATACAGTGTTCCATGATTCATTGTTTGTGCATAACACCCAGTGCTCCACGCAGAACGTGCCCTCTTTAATACCCATCACCAGGCCAACCCATCCCCCCACCCCCCTCCCCTCTAGAACCCTCAGTTTGTTTTTCAGAGTCCATCATCTCTCATGGTTCGTCTCCCCGTCCGACTTACTCCCCTTCATTCTTCCCCTCCTATCTTCTTCTTTTTCTTTTTTCTTAACATATGTTGCATTATTTGTTTCAGAAGTACAGATTTGTGATTCAACAGTCTTGCACAATTCACAGTGCTCACCATAGCACATACCCTCCCCAATGTCTATCACCCAGCCACCCCATCCCTCCCACCCCCCCACCACTGCAGCAACCCTCAGTTTGTTTCCTGAGATTAAGAATTCCTCATATCAGTGAGGTCATATGATACATGTCTTTCTCTGATTGACTTATTTCACTCAGCATAACACCCTCCAGTTCCAACCACATCGTTGCAAATGGCAAGATCTCACTCCTTTTGATGGCTGCATAATATTCCATTGTGTATATATACTACATCTTCTTTATCCATTCATCTGTCGATGGACATCTTGGCTCTTTCCACAGTTTGGCTATTGTGGACATTGCTGCTATAAACATCGGGGTGCACGTACCCCTTCAGATCCCTACATTTGTATCTTTATGGTAAATACCCAGTAGTGCAATTGCTGGATCGTAGGGTAGCTCTATTTTCAACTGTTTGAGGAACCTCCATACTGTTTTCCAGAGTGGTTGCACCAGCTTGCATTCCCACCAACAGTGTAGGAGGGTTCCCCTTTCTCTGCATCCCCGCCAACATCTGTAATTTCCTGACTTGTTAATTTTAGCCATTCTGACGGGTATGAGGTGGTATCTCATTGAGGTTTTGATTTGGATTTCCCTGATGCCGAGCGATGTTGAGCACTTTTTCATGTGTCTGTTGGCCATTTGGATGTCTTCTTTGGAAAAATGTCTGTTCATGTCTTCTGCCCATTTCTTGATTGGATTATTTGTTCTTTGGGTGTTGAGTTTGGTAAGTTCTTTATAGATTTTGGATACTAGCCCTCTATCTGATATGTCATTTGCAAATATTTTCTCCCATTTGGTTGGTTGTCTTTTGGTTTTGTAGTCCCCAGCCTTCTTCACAGGAGCATCTTTGGGGAAGAAAGTCTGTCAGCCTCCATTGTCCCACGAACACAGTATAGCATTTATTGTAGAAGAAGTTGCTCTGTGTCTTCCTTATCTTATAGTACATCCACTTGGAGGACAGGGGCATCCAGAGGATGTGTGGGAGCACCTGGGAGCACCAGCTTCTCCCAGCAAGGGAGGAAGGGGTCTGCAGGAAGCCCTCAGGGCCATGACTGTCCTCCTAGAGACTGGGGGCCATTTTGTTATGGAGTGGGTGGTGGCAGGCGAGCCTCCAGATCAGCAACGGGTGGGGGCCCTGCTGGGTTTTTCATCTGTGCCCTTTCTCCCTTGACATAGGGAGCTCGGGGCCGGGTCAGGGGGGTGGGTGGCCCGGGCTGGGTCAGTTGCCGTTCGCGCCGATGGGTAAAGCTGGGCCTCCCCAAAGACCTCGAGCCTCCATAAGCCTGGGTGGCAGACACGCTCATGCCAGGGCCTGCCACTCTTGGGCTTGGGCCTCTGGTTCCCACTACTGTGGGGGCTGAGGGAGGTTGGGGCTGACAGAATGAGGTTCTTTGGGTGGGGTTTGGGAAAAGCCCCTGGGACCTTTGCCCTGGGACTGCCAGTGGCTGGGGTTGAAGGCTAGGACCATAAAGCCTCAGGTGTGAATGGGACTCTCACCCAGAAGGGCTGGTGGTTGCAGGCCTGGGGGAAGGCACTGGAAATTTGCCAGGGGCCAGCTTGAGATGGATGAGTGGAAGGAAGGCTGGAAGAAAGAGGGGCTTCTCAGGGGTGGAGGCGCAGGGTCCCTCAGTCAGCCTGGCCTGTGGCTGGCTACTCCCTCCAGGTGTCCTCCCTCCCTCCATAGTTATTCTCTCCCTGGCATTTCTTGGCCCCCGCCCCTTGCTAACCACCACCCACACGCACATCTCCGGCCTCCTGTCCCTCCCTCTTGCCTGGCCACACCCATGGCTCTGGCTTCCGCTATAGGGACCCTGGCTGTGGGCGGTCAGCTTTCGTGGAGTTAGAGGGGAGGGTTGACAGGCTGCTCTTTGGCCAACTCCCTGTGGTCACCACACACTATCCACCCAGACTCATTACCACACCCTTAGCCCCAAGGCAACGGTCTCTGGGGTCCTTTATATAGCTGGTCCTTCCCTGGGAGCTCTCATTTCTTGGTCCTTCCTGATGAGGGGAGACCCTGCAGCCAGGGCCCCATCTGGAGATGCTGCTGGTCTGGATCCTGACCTTGGGTCTCTGGCTCTGGGCACCTGCTACAGTGACTCAGGGTGAGTGGGATCGGGGCTGGCACTCCCTGGGGATCCCAGGTGTGCCAGCCTCAGGCAGGGCTCCTCCTTCTTTTCCCCCACTCCCTTTGCAGGGGAGGGGCTGCCAAAGAGCTGGACACCTGGGCTCTGACCTCATTCTGCTTTGGGGGTGCTAAAGGGGTCACCCTGGAGACGGGTGGGAGCAGGGCAAGGGGTGTGGCCTGTGGTTGTACAGCTGATGGCCTACACCAAGCCCCTGGCCCAGGGCTGAGAGGGGCTGGCATCCTGCAGCTCCCCCTCTCCAGCCTTCTCCCTCAGGGGAGCAGGGACTCTTTCTTCAACTAGATGGTGGCCTCTGCCTGCCTTCGTCCTGTGGGCTGCATCTGCCCAGAAGGCCGGGTCTTCCCAAACCTCTCAAAGGCACGGTATAGGCTGTCAGCCCTGGCTGGGGAGGGAAGGACGGAACATCCAGCAGCTTCTTGCATAGGGAGAGCTCAGGGGGTGCCTCTAGTTAGAAACAGCTGAAGGGCTGAGGGGGAGACTCAGGCTCTGGGGTCCTTGTTGAACCTGTCATGGCCATTTCCCTGGGAAGCAACCAGTTACAAGCTGATTTCCTGTGGCTTCCCGACTTTCTGATCCCCTCCCCCCCAACCCTGGAGACCAGGAAGAACCGGAGGGAAGGGGTGGGCGGGAGAGTCACTGGGGTGAGGGGTGCTGGGAGTGAGTCCAAGGCCCCAGGTGGAAAGGGGGGGACCCCTGAGTTGAAGGCCCCCTAAGGTTGTGGGGGAGGGGTGGTGAGTGGACAGGGGGTGGTGGGGAAGGGAATCTTTGGTGCCCTGCAGGGCGGCAGAGAGATTACCCACACAGGGAGTTCTGAGACCCCAGTCACAAACAGGGGCCTTCAGGTGCCACCTCAGCCCACCACCGTGCCCTCGAGTACCTCCTTCTCCCCTGCCCTGACATGTTCAAAGCCCAGCAGCGCAGCCTGGCAGTGGCTGATGGGAAAGGATGAGGGGCTGGCTGCAGGTGTGAACTGTGCGCATCTAGGGACATGAAGAAAGTGCATTAATTCTAGATGGATTAGCTTTAAGGTCAAATACAGACACTAGGACGCTATGGGCAGGGTCAGCCTTAGGAGGGGTCCAGCCTGTCTCTGCCCCCCAGGCCGACTCTGGGCCTCTCTCCAGTCAGGCTGTCTGGGGACAAGGAGGGGGGTGGTGATGATGATGAGGATGAAGGGCCCCCCAGCTAGCAGGGCTGTTACCTCCATGTGCCTTGCCGTGAGTTAGAAACAGCCACCAGTACAACCAGAGACCCCTATTCCTAAGGCGCTCGGTATCGTG